CAGGTGAAGAATCTGAGCAATCTAAGCAGCCCAAGTCCTGCTTCTGTCTAGAACCTGCTGGGAGAGGAGAGAATAAGGACAGGGAATCAGGCTGCTGGGCCGAAGGTCAAGGGCAGCTTCAAAAGCCAGAAGGAGGCTCCCTCCGGTGCAAAGCTCCAGACTCCCAGGGTGTTCAAGAATGGCCCAGAGTGTTGTTTATCAATAACTTCTCCCTGGGCTGTGGGATCAGTTTCCTGGTAACGGCTCAGAGGCACAAAGGTGAAAGGGCGTGAGAGATGTGTCTGTCCCCCACCAGATGAACTGGTCTCCCTCATTTCCCTTTGAACAGACCTGAAAAGGGGTATCTGTACTCGCCCACAGGCCAGAGCTGTTGGACCCTCTAGCAGGAACTAGATTCTGGGGACAGGAACCAGAGTTGACCTGGCAGAACCGCCCTCCAAAAGCTCCGGAGCCAAGGGAGCAAAGCTCAGTAAAAACAGACCCTTTGACTCTGACCCCGACCTCGAGGTTACCAAGGGTGGGGGGAGGGGAGCGAGGCTGAGCCCAATAGTCTGTGGTGGAAGGATATTGATATTTTGGTGATGAATAATATAATTATTATTATTATAAATTAAAATAATAATAATAATATCAACCAAAAATAAATGTTAAGGGCTGGAGAGAAAACTCAAAGGGCTCAGTACATGTGGGAGCCTGGGTTTGATCCCTGGCACCACATGGCCCCCTGAGCACTACTGGGGCAACCTCTGAACACTGGACCAGGAATTACCCTCTGAGCACCTTCAGGTCTGGCCCCCCCAAAAAAAAAATTTTTTTTTAATTTTTATTAGTGAAACACCATGAGGTACAGTTGTAGATTTACAAATTTTTGTGCTTGGGTTTCGATTATACAATGATCAAATACCCATCCCTCCACCAGTGCCCATTTTCCACCACCATGGATAATATCCCTCCCACCCCCATCCCCCCCATCCCACCAAAAAAAATTTTTTAATTGAGTCACAGAGCCACAGTAACAAAGTTGTTCATGATTGAGTTTCAGTCATATAATGTTCCGACCCCCACCCCAACACCAGTGTACATTTCCCACAGCCAATGTCCCCAGTTTCCCTCCTGCCTGCTACATAACCTTCCTGAACAATTTTTTTAATTAATTAGAAAAATGGGGCTGGAGTGATAGTACAGCAGGTAGGGTGTTTGCCTTGCACGCAGCCAACCTGGGTTCAATTCCCCCCACCCCCCCACCCCTGCCCCGGCATCCCATATGGTCCCTGAGCACAACCAGGAGTGATTCCTGAGTGCAGAGCCATGAGTAACCTCTGAGCATCATCGGGTGTGACCCAAAACTAATTAATTAATTAATTAAAAACAAACGAGAAAGTCCAAGGCCAGTATAAGCCAAGCCCACCCTTTGGGTTCCTCCAGGCCAGCCCCCCATCAGCAGCCGTGCACCCCGCCCAGCAGTTCTCATACACCATCTCTGTGCCACAGCTACTCGGTGACACCCACGGTCACCTCCTGAACACCCTTCTCCCCTCCATAGCCCCAGCAGCCCCTTCTCCTTCCCCTGCAGCTGTTCTGCTGCACCTCCAGTATCTGTATCTCTGCCACAGCCCTGGGCAGGGCCCAGGCTGGAAGTGGCTTCTGCCTACCCCTCTGCCCCCTCACTTATCCCCTCCCTGTTCCCTTCCCAGTGGTTTCCTTGTCACCTGGGCCCCAGGCTCAGCTGTGCCCCAACCTTAGAGCCCACGGTAGCTGCTGCAGTGAACCCCCCCCCACCAGAGTCCCCATTTTCCTGATGCCAGCAAGGGCTGATGCAGAGGCCCCCAAAGATCCCGTCATCTAGAAATGGTTTCGGCATGAGCTTTCTAGGCCAGAGGGCTCACAATTGTCTGAGCCAGATAGGTCGTTATCCCTCCCTGACACTCCGTGTTCTCTCCAGGGACTGAAGAGATGTAGAGGGGATAAGGCAGACGCCTTGCATGCAGCCCACCCAGGTACACTCATGGCACCACAGGGTCCCCCAAGCCTCACCAGATACAGCCCTGAGCACTGCTGGGCTGACCGGGTTAACCCCTGGCACCAGAGGGCCTGAACAGCTCCACAGCCTTGGGCCCTAACATTGAACCAGCAGCCCTGTTCCTCAGCCAAGTGCTCACAGAGGGCCACGTGCTGGGTGAGCATTGGCATGAAATGTCAGGGATGAGCGACCAATAGGGCTGGAGCGATAGCACAGCGGTAGGGTGTTTGCCTTACAAGTGGCCAACGTAGCCAACCTGAGTTCAATTCCTCCGCCCCTCTCGGAGAGCCCAGCAAGCTACTGAGAGTATCTCGCCCGCACGGAAGAGCCTGGCAAGCTACCCGTGATGTATTCGATATGCCAAACACAGTAACAACAAGTCTCATGATGGAGACTTTACTGGGCCCGCTCGAGCAAATCAATGAACAACGGGACAACCGTGGTGATGATGATGATGAGCGACCAAAGGAGGCCTTGAGTTGGCCTAGGGCTGTGTGGGAGGGGGAGAGGGAAGTGACTGCTAATGTGTCGAGGCATTGGAGGGCAGGGGGCGAAAGTATCCTCAAATGGATGGTGTTGGCTGACGTTGCATAACCGAATATATTAAAAGCCATTGAGCACCTGCACAGGTACAGTAAGGCCTGAGCAGTTCAGTACAGCAGGTAAGACACTTGCTTTGCACACAGCCAGCCTGGGTTCTATCCCCAGCACCATAATGGTCTCTCAAACCCAGCCAGGAGTGATCCCTGAGCACAGAGCCAGGAGTAAGCCCTGAGCACTGTTGGGCGTGGGCCCAAAACACATACAAGAATTGTACTCCAAAGGCATAAATATTTACATCATTGTAAACTGATACTATAACTAACCCAGCTGAGCCGGGTTCGATTCCTCCGCCCCTCTCGGAGATCCCAGCGAGCTACTGAGAGTATCTCGCCCGCACGGCAAAGCCTGGCAAGCTCCCCGTGACTATTCGATATGCCAAATACAGTAACAAGTCTCATGACAGAGACGTTACTGGGCCCGCTCAAGCAAATTGATGAACAACGGGAAGACAGTGCTACAGTGCTACTACAACTTAAAAAATAATAAAATTAGAAATAAAACCTTCACCTTCAAAGGCTGGGATCTATTTAAAGAGGCAGAGCACCTCCCCGGCATGTGTGAGGCCCTGAGTTCCAGCCCCTGCACCACATGGATCCCCCAGATCAAACCATCAGCCCCAGTCCCCTGGGCTGCTAGGCCATTGTGGGGAGTGGTCCTGGACACCACCCCCCCTCCAAAGCACTATTGCGGGTGGCCCCTATTATAAAAATAATAATTTAAAAGGTAAAGATAAGGTAAAGGCCCTCCCGTTGATCGTTGATTTGCTCGAGCGGGCCCAGTAACGTCTCCATTGGAGACTTTGTTGTTACTGTGTCTGACATATCGAATACTCTCGGTAGCTTGCCGGGCTCTCCGAGAGGGGCGGAGGAATCGAACTCGGGTGCTCGCTTCGGCAGCACATATACTAAATAATTTAAAAATTATTTTTAAATAATAAAAAGCTTTAGGCCCATAGTGATAAGACAGCAGTAGGGTGTTTGCCTTGCACACAAACAAACCCCATATGGTTCCCTGAGCCTGCCAGGAGTGATTCCTGAGCACAGAGCACCTTCAGGTACGGCAAAACAGAGAACAACACAAAGCCTTAGAATCCTGGTAACCTACCTCATAGGTTTGTGAAAAATAGAAGGAAAAAAAGAGAGTGTGTGAACTCTCTTGCATATAGTGGGCAACAAGAAATGACCAGGACCGGGATGGGGCTCAGCTGTGGAGCACAGGCTCTGCATGGGTGGGGCTGGGTTTGAACCCAGCAACCAACACTTTGATTTAAAGAGAGAGACAGAGGAAGGAAGGAAGGAAGGAAGGAAGGAAGGAAGGGAGGGAGGGAGGAGGGAAGGAGGGAGGGAGGGAGGGAGGGAGAAAAGAAAGAAAGGAAAGAAAAGAAAGAAAGAAAGAAAGAAAGAAAGAAAGAAAGAAAGAAAGAGAAAGAAAGAGAGAGAAAAAAAAGAGGGAGAAAGAAAAAGAATAAGACAGAAAAAGAAAGAAAGAAAGAAAGAAAGAAAGAAAGAAAGAGAAAAAGAACAAAAGACAGAAAAGGAAAGAAAAAGAAAGAAAGAAAGAAAGAAAGAAAGAAAGGAAGAAAGGAAGGGAGGAGAAAGAAAGAAAGGAAGGAAGGAAGGAAGGAAGGAGAAAGAAAGAAAAAAAGAAAGAAAGAAAGAAAGAGGGAGAAAGAAAGAGAGAGAAAAAAAGAGGGAGAAAGAAAAAGAATAAGACAGAAAAAGAAAGAAAGAAAGAAAGAAAGAAAGAAAGAAAGAAAGAAAGAAAGAGAAAAAGAACAAAAGACAGAAAAGGAAAGAAAAAGAAAGAAAGAAAGAAAGAAAGAAAGAAAGAAAGGAAGGAAGGAAGGAGAAAGAAAGAAAGAAAGAAAGAAAGGAAGGAAGGAGAAAGAAAGAAAGAAAGAAAGAAAGAAAGAAAGAAAGAAAGAAGAACAAAAGACAGAAAAGGAAAGAAAAAGAAAGAAAGAAAGAAAGAAAGAAAGAAAGAAAGAAAGAAAGAAAGAAAGGAAGGAGAAAGAAAGAAAGAAAGAAAGAAAGAAAGAAAGAAAGAAAGAAAGAAAGAAAGAAAGAAAGAACACTTAGTATCATTGTTTCAGAGCCGAGGCCGGGAGAGGCTGGGCCAGCCTATCAGGAGAAGCCTTGACCTTTGGATGGACTCTCAGAGGGGACACCCCCCACCCCAATATATACCTTATCACCAGAGGTTGCTCTTCTTCCAGCAGCTGGAGGGAGCTCCCGGGAACTCTGACCTTCCCCTCACCTCCCTGCCCCTCACAGCCGCCTCCCGTCAAGTGCGCAGACTGTCAGCTCTCCTCTGGGGTAAAGTTTCAGGTCAGCGGGGCTATAAAGAGAGGTGCCAAGCCCCACAGGCAGAGCAGCAGTGAATGGCAAGGAGGCGAGTCGCTCTCTGCTCCCCTTGCTGGGGTGGAGCCCTGCACAGCCCTCAGGAGCCCGGGGCTGCCCTGGCCCAGGCCCGCCACCGCCACCGTGCAGGTAAGCTCTGGAGGGCCCCGCTTCCAGCTTCCAGCATCCAGCACCCCTGTCCAGACGAGGGAGCTCCCCCACAGAGCCCCAGCCCGGGGGTGGGGGTGCAGGGGGCAGGGCACGGTGGCAGGGCTGGGACTCCCCCTGCAGCCCCACCCCAAGGGTCCCCTCCCAGTTCTCCCCGCCCCCTGGCTCTGCCGGATGACCCTGTGGATTGTGGCAGATGCGGGCCAGAATCCCAGCACGCCCAGGAAGGGGCCCCGAGGAGGGAGACGGGAGTGACAGGGTGCCCCTATGAGATCGCTCGTAGAACTGTCCGCCCAGGTAGCCCCTTCTGCAGGGATGCTGGGGGGCTGGGCTTGCCGGAGGTGGAGTTGGAGCTGGAGGGTGATAAGGGAAAGCGCAGGCACGGTGTCTGGAATCGGGTCCTCGAACCCGTCTCCAGAGTCACCACCAGGAACACGCTTCTAACGAGAGCTCCAGGCCGGCTCAGCCCGCAGCAGGCTCTGTGGGACTGAGCGGGGAGAAATTCATGCTGGTTGCGGGGACACTTTGCTCTCCTGAGATCGGACTCTGGGTGCTTGGACACACCTGGCTCCAGCCCTCAGCCTCCACCCATCTAGGAAGCAAGAATAACCAGCAGTGACCAAGTTGGTGCTGCAAGCAGGGACATCCCAGGTGCCACCGCTCCTCACACCAGCCCCCCGCGTGCCCCCCACCCGCCCCAAGCTCTAGAGGGATCCCCGCTCTCCATTGCTTCTCACTGGGCCCGAGGCCAAGGGGAAGCGGCCTGCTGGGTTCTTCGGGTCCCACGCAAGAGGGTGGGAGGGGGAGGTTGGGGAACACCCGCTCCTGCAGGCAGCACCTCCCACGTGTCTCCTTGGGCCACTGGGAACAGGATCCAGCCCTGGCTTTCCGCCCTCCGAAGGCTCTGCCCAGGCAGCAGTGAGCGCCTCTCACTGCTCCGCTGCTGCCGCTGAAGCCCTGGTTCCGGGCACACCCTCCCCTCCTGGTCAGCACCAGCCTGCAGCAGCATGTAGATCTGCCTGGACGCAACCAGCCTCCCCCTCTCCGCCACACTCACACCTGGCTGCGGGCGGCTCAGATTTCATTCCTCACGGTCCCTTCAGCAAGTGGGGGGTGAGGGGGGTCTTTGTCAACTGGTGGTCCTGAGGACCCTCCAGCTCTGGGTCATGCCAGTAGGAGGCTGCAGAGAGGAGGGGGCGCTCTCCTGAGCCCCCATCCCCAGAGGGGAGACCACATGAAGGATGGGATGGAGACGAAGAGGTTGGGAAGGAAAGTGCCACTTGCTGGTACATCCTTCAGGCCAGGGGGTCCTGGACTCCCGCGGAGATCTAGACCCTGCCCATAGCTCCATGAAGCACAGCTAGCACCAGACATGCTCCACCAGGAGCTGAGGACACAGCATGCCTGGTATCCCACAGCTGTGACAGGGTCCTCCCCGGGGCTCACTGTGACCCGACAGGTCCCGGGGCATTTTGAAAGTAGAAAGGAAGGGGCTGGACCGATAGTACAGTGGGTAGTGCTTTTGCCTTGCACATGGCTGACCCGGGTTCGATCCCCATCATCCCATAGCGTTTCCTGAGCACAGCCAGGAGTAATTTCTGAGTGCAGAACCAGGAGTAACCCCTGAGCACTGCTGGGTGTGGCCCAAATACCAAACAGGAAAAAAAGAGAAAAATGTGGAGTGAGGGGGGCAGAGCAATAGTACAGCGGGTAGGGCGTCTGCCTTGCATGCGTTTGACCTGGGTTTGATTCCCAGCACCCCATATGGACCCCGAGCACAGCCAGGAGTAATTCCTGAGTGCAGAGCCAGGAGTAACCCCTGAATATCGCCAGGTGTGACACCCCCCCCCGCCCCCAAAAAACCTGGTATGTTTAAAAAAATAAAGTGGAGTGAGGGGCCACATGATAGCACAGCGGGGAGGGTATTTGCCTTGCACACGGCCAACCCGGGTTCGATCCCCAGCATCCCGTATGTTCCCTCAAGCACTGCCAGGAGTAATTCTTGAGTGCAGAGCCAGGAGTAACCCCTGAGCATCTCCTGGTGTGACCCCTCCCAAAAAAAAATAGGGAAGTGAAAATCTCTAACTCCATCCATAGCCAGCAGAGGATCTGAAGGAGGGCACTGGGCAGCCTGCAAGAGGCCCAGGGTAGTGCGCCTCAGTCTCCTCCTGATCCTGGCCCCTCCCTGTGCCTGGGCTGGGCCCAAGAGTTGTACAGCGGTGCCCTATGTATGCAGTTTTTAACTGTGGCCCCCCTCCGATATCCTGGGAGCCTGTAGGGGGGTATATAGCCCTCAGCTGAGAAATGTTGCTCCGGAGAACACAGTCCCCAGGGCTGGCTGGAGGGGAGAGCACTGCAGAAGGAGTGAAGGACTGCCTGGGACCGGGGGCAGGTTTTCTTCATCAACACGCCGAAGCCCCCAGCCTTCCTCGCTACTCTTGCATGGGCTCAGCCCCCAGTTCCTACAGATGGGCATGTGGAGCGTTTAATTCCTGCCCTCATGGAAAAGGCGCCCACCCAATGCATCCCCAAGGCCCTTGCAGCGAATGTTTGGTGGGAACATTTTTGTTTTCCAAGACCTGATCAGACACATTGGCATACATGTGAGACACCCCCACACAGCCCGAGGGACATAGCACAGATGTTTTGGCCTCGTCTCCAGTGCTCTCCGCGTGCCAACAGCAGAAGCCAGAACGGGCGTGTCTGAAGCTCCAGAGGCTACAGCGAGGACTTTGGACATTGTTCTGACTTAGGGGGTCATTGAAACCAGGGAACATGGGAGTGGCATGCCCTGATTCATGTGTGCTCGGACACCAGCCGAGGTCTCTGCAGCATCTGCCCGGAGGCCTGACACTCCAGCTCAGAATCTCGTTCTCTTTGCTGCATGGACCATGCAAATGCTGTGCCATTATATGGAAATGACAGCATCGAGATCTTTATTTGGGGGCCACACTTGGCAGTGTGCAGGGGCTAATCAGATCCTCTGCCGCACTGCCAAGTGCAGTGTGCACTTGACTAAGTGCTCAACGGTGATTTCTGCTGGTGCTGGGGGACCATGAGGTCCCAGGAGTGGAACCAGGGCACCCACATGCCACACTTGTTTTTGTTTGTTTGTTCGTTTTGTTTTGTTTTGTTTTGTTTTGTTGCTTTTTGGGTCATACCCGGTGATGCACAGGGGTTACTCCTGGCTCTGCACTCAGAAATTACTCCTGGCGGTGCTCGGGGACCATATGGGATGCTGGGAATCAACCCAGGTCAGCCGCGTGCAAGGCAAATGCCCTACCCACTGTGCTATCACTCCTGCCCCTGCATGTCACACTTGTGCTCAACCCTCTGCACTCTCTCCCCAACCCAACCCCATCTACTGGGTCCCAGTTTCTTTCCAAGTGAATGACAGGTTCTTATCCCTATTTGACCAGGAGGGTCAGTGGCATCTCTGAGGTCTGAAGAGAGGACAGGAGCCCAGCTCTCCCCCTTGCCCCGAGATGTCCTCCCTCCCCATGGAGAACTCACTCTGCCTCCATCAGTCCTGCGAGACTGACCCAGGTGTGAGGACACTAAGGCTAAGGATCTCTGCCCTCTGAGGGGTTGACAGAGGGGGTGCCAGCGGGTGTGACTGCCAGGAGAGAACCTTGGCACCAGGGGCCCAGATGTCTGGGTTCTGGAAGGTAGAGCTACCTGTGACAGGGGTGGCAGTCCCCAAGGTAAGCAAGGCTGACCCAGGACCATCAGAGGTCAACGGGGCCCCATCGCCAATTGTGAGAGATGGGCACAGGTGTATGTGGTACACTCTCTCTCTCTGTCTCTCTCTGTCTCTGTCTCTCTCTCCTCCCCCTCCTCCTCTTCCTCCTCCTCCTCCCCCAGCTCTTTGGTTTTTGGGCCACACCCAGCAGTGTTTGAGTGTTACTCCTAACTCTGCACTCGGGGATCACTCCTAGTGGTGCTCAGGAAACCATATGGGATGCCGGGGACCGAACCAACATGTTGGCTATGTGCTAGGCAAACACCCTATCTGCTGTGGTATCTCTCTGGCCCCTGGGGGGCACATTCCCTTGACCCACAATGAATATACCTCTAAGAATGGCACCTTGGGAGGGGTGAGAAAGATAAAAGCATCATTCAGACATCGGCCATGGAACCCCCTCCAGTTCCACATCCCCCTGAGTCCTGCAAGAGACATATTCTGAGCTGCAGAGATAGCTCAGGGGTAAGGCACTTGCCTTACATGCGGTCTACCCAGGTTTTGATTTCTGGCACTGCATGTGATCCTCTGAGCCTACCAGGGGTGATTCTTGAGCACAGAATCAGCAGTAAGCCCCCAAGTACCACTCTGTGTCATGCCCAAAAGAAGCTGTGGATGGAATCACAGACTCCAGACGTTCGGTGCACAGCAATCCTGCTGAGATTTTTTTTCTGTTTGAGTATCAGTCATGGTCCTCCCGTTGTTCATCGATTTGCTCGAGTGGGCCCAGTAACGTCTCCATCGTGAGACTTGTTGTTACTGTGTTCGGCATATTGAATACGTCACGGGGAGCTTGCCAGGCTTTGCCATGTGGACTCTCAGTAGCTTGCCAGGCTCTCCGAGAGGGGCAGAGGAATCAAACTTGGGTCGGCCGTATTGGCTGCGTGCAAGGCAAACACCCTACCGCTGTGCTATCGCTCCAGCCCATTTGAGTATAAAGAAGAGAATCTTTTTTTTTTTTTTTTAATAATTTATTTATTTATTGAATCACTGTGGGAAAAGTTACAGAGCTTTCGGGTTTAGGTCTCAGTCATGTAGATACCGAACACATTTCCCTTTACCAATACTCATTTTTAACCCCGAACCCCAATAGACCCCCACCTCCCACCCCTCCCAATTCAAGAAGAGAATCTTCAGTGGGGTGGGGAGAGAGTTTGCAGGTACCTGCGATCAAACCTCGGCACCACGTGCCTCCCCTGTTCCCAGAAAGCAAGTGGTCCCCATCATTGAACCACCCGGCCAGCCAAGTATCCCCAGAAGTAGCTCCTGGGCCATGGAGCGCCACATGGGAGACCCCAACAGGGCCTGCCCACGCTGCTTTGTAGCACAGAAACATGGTGAGACTGATAGTGGGGTCTCTGCTGTTTTCCTTCATCCAGATTAAAAGGCTGCAGAGATAAGGGGATACAGCCCCTCCTCCCCCAGAGCAAGCCTTTCCCAGAAGCAGGAGCTGGGCAGGAGAGTGGGACTGTGGGGTGGGGTGGGGTGGGGTGGAGACAGGGGTGGCCCCCACTGAGCCGGGTAGTGACCCCTTCCATGTAAGAAGAACCACCCAGCTGGGGGAGTGAGAGCAAGAGGAGGTCAAGGGGGCTCACTAGAGGGAAGGGATAGGACAGGGGTGATGTTTTTTATTGTTTGTTTTTGTTTTTTTTTTTATTAGTGAGACACCATGAGGTACAGTTGTAGACTTACAAATTTTTGTGCTTGGGTTTCAATTATACAATGATCAAACACCCATCCCTCCACCAGTGCCCATTTCCCACCACCACGGATCCCAGTATCCCTCCCACCCCCCATCCCCCCATCCCACCCTGCCTCTGTGGCAGGGCATTCCCCTTTGTTCTCTCTCTCATTTTGGGTATTGTGGTTTGCAAAAGAGGCATTGAGTGGCAATCATATTTGGTCTATGGTCTACTTTCAGCATGCTTCTCCCATGCTGGGAGGATTGGACAGGGGTGATGTTTACAAGCGAAATTCACCCAGATCTACTGGGGGAGCCAGGCGACAGCCCTGAAGGCTGGTCCCATCTGCCTCCTTCCTCTGTGCCTCCCTCAGCCTTCCCCCTGCGCTGAAGCAGCCTCCCTACCGCCCTGTGCCCTGAGAGGGACAGGCAGAGCCTTCCACGACCATGGTGGCAATGACCCCCTCAGAGGTGCCGCCCACCACAGCGGTGAAGTTCCTGGGGGCGGGCACGGCCGCCTGCTTTGCTGACCTCCTCACCTTCCCGCTGGACACAGCCAAGGTCCGCCTGCAGGTAGGACCCCGCTCCTCGGTGCCTCCTCCCTGGAGCCCTCCTCCCTCCTCATCCTCCTCCCATCCGGGGCACCCCAGACAGCCGTTCTGAGCTCCCTGCAGGATCTAGCCCTGCGTTCAGACTAAGACTGGCCCCTGCCCAGCAGGAGGGAAGCGATGGGTCCTCTGGGCACTCCGTGCCCATAGCGCGGACGCCTCACTTGTGGCCCAAAGCGCCGCCGCTCTTCCCGGACGGGCAGCGCCCCCGCGAGGGGACCCCTCCCCGCCTGGCCCAGCGCCCCCAGCCCCTCACGCCCCCGCCGTGGGTGTCGCTCAGATCCAGGGGGAGAACCCGGCGGCGCGGAGCGCGCAGTACCGCGGCGTGCTGGGCACGATCGTGACCATGGTGCGCACCGAGGGCCCCCGCAGCCCCTACAACGGGCTGGTGGCGGGCCTGCAGCGCCAGATGAGCTTCGCCTCCATCCGCATCGGCCTCTACGACTCGGTCAAGCAGCTCTACACCCCCAAAGGATCGGACCGTGAGTGTCCGGATCCCGGGGATTCCGAGGGGGCGCGGGCCGGGGGGCGCGGTCACTCTGAGCAGCTGTCCAGGAGCTCCGGAGCCCAAGGCCAGAGGCAGGCCCCCACACCAGCGCTCCTTCCCCCGCAGACTGCGGCATCACCACCCGCATCCTGGCCGGCTGCACCACGGGCGCCCTGGCGGTCACCTGCGCGCAACCCACCGACGTGGTGAAGGTGCGGTTCCAGGCCAGCGTGCAGCAGGGGCCCGGAAGCCCTCGGAAGTACAGTGGGACGATGGACGCCTACAGGACCATCGCCCGAGAAGAGGGGCTCCGGGGCCTGTGGAAAGGTGGGTCCCCATGCCAGAAGCTTCTCCTCCCCAAAGCCGGGCAGAGTAGTGAACTCTGGGGCTGGAGGGATAGTAAGTACAATGGGTAGGGTGCTTGCCTTGCATACAGTAGACCCAAGTTCCATAGTCCCATGGGGTCCTGGGACACCCCACAGTGACCCTACCACACTGGGGCCTGGGGTCCTGTAGAAAAAGGTCCCCTTTCCCCCTCCCCCATCCATCAGCCTGTCCCCCTCCACACAGGAACTATGCCCAACATCACGAGGAACGCCATTGTCAACTGTGCCGAGATGGTGACCTACGACATCATCAAGGAGAAGCTGTTAGAGTATGGACTGCTCACCGGTGAGGCCCTGGAGTCCAGCAGATGCCCCCTGCTAGCAGGGGTGGTGGGAATTCCAGGGTGGGCGGCGAGCAAAGGGGCAGGGAGAGGACCTCAGGAAAAGTGCTGGTCCGGAGGAGGGAGGTAGCCCAGCAGTGAGGGTGCATCTGTGCACCTGGATGACCCACGTTCAATCCCCGGCACCCCATAAGGTCCCTCACACCCTGTCAGGAGTAACCCCCAAGTGCAAAGCCAGGTGTAAAGCCCTAAGCACTGTTGTTTGGGCCAGAGCAATAGTATAGCTGGTAAGGGGCCTGCCTTGCACACAGCCAACTGAGGTTCGATCCCTAGCATTCCATATGGTCCCCTGAGCACTGCCAGGAGTAAATTCTGAGCACAGAGACAGGAGTATCCAATAACCCCTGAGCATTGCTAGGTGTGTGGCCCAAAAAAACAAAAAGTTCTGGCCAGCACCACTTCCGAGAGAGACCTTTTTTTTTTTTTTTTTTTTTTTTTTGCTTTTTGCGTCACGCCCAGCGATGCACAGGGGTTACTCCTGGCTCTGCACTCAGGAATTATTCCTGGCGGTGCTCAGGGGACTATATGGGATGCTGGGAATTGAACCCAGGTCGGCCACGTGCAAGGCAAACTCCCTACCCGCTGTGCTATTGCTCCAGCATCGAGAGATACCCTTTTGGGGGCGGTTTGGGGACTGTGAGGTGCCGGAGTTGGAACCAGGGCTCCAGCTCCCACATGCAAAGCTGGTGCTCAGCCCTTGAAGTCATGTCCGTGGCCCCCGTGTTCCCCCTATATGAGGGCCTCAGACTGGAACGGGCCCCATCCCTAGCCAGTCCGCCAAAACTGCCAAGAGCTCAGCCCTGGGCTGTGGAGACATGGAAAGTCTGCCCTTTTCCTCAAGTTGGGTACCAAGAGGCACAAGGGCAACAGAGGGCTCAGGGCAGGAGCTGGAGAGATAGCACAGTGGGGAGAGCTCTTGTCCTGCACACCGCTGACCCAGGTTCAATCCATATCATCTCATATGGTTCCCTGAGCACCACCAACAGTGATTCCTGAGTGCAGAGCCAGGAGCAACCCCTGAGCATCGCTGGGTGTGCCCTCCCTCCCCTCAAAAAAAGAAAAGGAGAGGGGCTGGAGCAATAGCACAGCGGGTAGGGTGTTTGCCTCGCACGTGGCTGACCCAGGTTCGATTCCCAGCATCCCATATGATCCCCTGAGCACCGCCAGGAGTAATTCCTGAGTACATGAGCCAGGAGTAACACCCTGTGCAATACCGGGTGTGACCCAAAAAGAAAAAAAAAGAAAGAAAAGAAAAGAACAGAACAGAAAAGAAAAGAAAAGAAAAGGAAAGAAAAGAAAAGGAGAGCCAGGGTACTCCCGTCTCACTACCCAACACCCACTCTTCCTCCAGACAACTTCCCCTGCCACTTTGTCTCCGCCTTTGGAGCCGGCTTCTGTGCCACGGTGGTGGCATCCCCGGTGGACGTGGTGAAGACCCGGTATATGAACTCACCCCCAGGCCAGTACCGCAGCCCCCTGGACTGTATGACGAAGATGGTGGCCCAGGAGGGCCCCACAGCCTTCTATAAAGGGTGAGCCTCCCAGAGAACCCGGCACCTGGCCGCCCTCCCTCCCCTGCTCCCCCAGTGTCCCCTTCTCTCTCTCTCCACCCCTCTTCCTTCCATTAGAAAGTACCTACCACGGCTCAATCTGGGGATGCCGTGGGGAGCGGTACAGACATGAAGGCCACAGATGAGTATAAAATGAGGGAAATTTAAAGAACAAAAAATGGACCTCATCTGACTGGGAGGATCAAGGAAGGCTTAACCCCCTTAAAAAAAAAAAAGAATCTAGTCAGAGGTCATTGTATCTCAGGTGCCAGGGGGGAAGGGTGGTTGATCCTCCTGACACGCTCCCCCCACTCACTGTGACTGACTCACTGACGGCAGCTCACGGGCCCATACGTGCCTTGTTTTCTCCCTTCGGTGTTGTAGTGTTTCCTGTTCCCTCTGCACGGACGCGTGTCCCAGAGCCTCGACATGCTCTACACCTTAGTCATCCTGCGAGGCCAGTTCCAGTGCCGCCTCCTCCCGGACACTCTCAGGCGTAAGCCTTCCCGTCTCCCTGTGTGCTTCGATACCACTTCCTCTGCCCTGTTCTGACAGGATTTGCTGCCTCCTACTTTGTGTTACAGTGTTTGTGAATCTGTGTGACTCCCGGGGCTTCAGAGCCAGCTCCTTAAAGCTAAGGTGTGGTGACTTCTGGACCTTCCATTCTCTGGGGTCCCTGGCACAAAGCTGGCACCCCACGTAGGTTCTGATCACCGTGATCACTCAGTCAGAGTTAGGCGTCATTCAGACTAAGCATATGACTTATGAGATCAGCCAGTCCCCACACGGAGGAAGAGACAGAGACACAGGCTAAGTAACTGGCCCAACCACAGAATCCAAAAGGAGAACCACAGCTAACACCAGCTACTGACACCCTACAGCACGTTGTCTAAACTGGCTAGTTCTTTCCCTGGGTGCCTTGTTCACCACCCCATGACCCATTTATAATAGAGAGCTTCTGGGTGCCCAGAGTTCATTTCACTGGACCCAACAATCTAGCTCTTGACTCTGGGAAGAACAAAATAACCCATTTCGCCTAACTATTCTTTTCCTGGAAGTACCTCTATTGTTCCAATCTTTGGCTGCAGCCACTGTCTCCAGGCTGTCTCTTCCCTCAGAGAGCTATGACAAGTGGATGACATCTGTAAACCTTCACAGACCTCGGTCCTGTGCTGAGTGCTTTAATGAGTTCCTTTCATTCCCCACCACAGCTCTTTGAGGGAGAGAGACTGATACTCGCTTTTCAGAGGAGGAAACCAAGACTCAGGAAGATTAAGCCAAGGTCTTAGAACAACACACGGGTAAACCTCTGATTTCAACCCAACTCTGACCTGAGGGTTCACAGTCATCGCCACCATGCTGCCCCCACTGAGGGGTGTCAGCTGAGGGGTTCAGGAGAGATGTTGTGAGGCATGAGATTGTGGTGCCCTGGCTGACCCGCAGAGCCCAGAGAAGCCAGTCAGGGAGGAGGAGATGGAAAGACTTCCCAAGAATACACATCCACGTAGACAAAGGCCAGGAAGTGAGGATGGCCAGACCAGTGTGCACTAGCAGAAGATTAGCAGAGGAAGAGGCCGAAAAGGAGGGCCAGACGGGGACAGGCTAGGCCCCACTGAAGGGAAGGACTCTGTGGAGATGAGCTCATGTGGTGTCCCACTGTCTTTGTCCTGTCCTCGCCCACATTCTCAGAGTCCAGACTCGACGTGAATGACCCAGAAGCAGCCGGCAGCAGGTCAGACAGTTCCCTGGAACCCGGTCTCTGGCCTTTGATGATCTCTGTGGTTGTAACACAGCTGAGCTCCTTGAGTTTGATCCTGAGGAAGACAGTTCTGGGGACAAGAGAGGGGTGAGGTGGGGCTGCCTGACAGTCACCCAGCTCACAACCTTCCTTTCTTTTCCTGACTGCCACCTCCGCCTGAGTCCCCGCAGCAGACAGAGAAGCCAACACTTCTCAGACAACGCGGGTGACTCGCAGAAGTCCAGGCCCCTCAGCCCTGCCGCTGAGAGAGGTCCATGTGGGGCTCTGCATCTGTCCCTTCACTCACGTTTTGGTCATCTCCCTCCTCAGGTTCACACCCTCCTTTTTGCGTTTGGGGGCCTGGAATGTGGTGATGTTCGTCACCTTCGAGCAGCTGAAACGGGCCCTGATGAAAGTTCAGATGTTACGGGAATCTCCGTTTTGAAAAAGGCCAGCGTAGACAGCTGAGAACAGACTGAGGCAGCAGGAAGGCCCCTCTGAGAGGACAGACCAACGCCCTTTGGGGAGCTGAATCCTGGCTGCTGGCTCAGGAAACTCGAAAAGAAGAAGGATCCAGTCTTCAGTGCTGTCTTAAGAACACCTCTGTGTTTTGCACTGACAAGAAGGAAAATAAATTATGTTAATTTTTTTTAACCCTCTAGGTTGGATGCCTAACATTTAGGCACAAGGAAATCAGCCAAGACAGATCCACATGGATAAAATCAATGGACATTTACAAATCTAGCTCCCTGAAAAAAAAAATCGGATTAGATGATGGGTTATAAAGAGGAAAGTGTGGGTCACCAGCAGTGACCCCAGACACCCGTGGTGACCCGCTAAACTGTCTACAGAGACACATTCCAGGACAGCTCCCCAGTGTCCTGTGGATCATTGGTCCTGAGCCCAGTGTGTGCACAGCCCAATGGATTCTGGGAAATGTGAGACAAGACAAGAGGAACCCTTGAACCTACACCCCGAAAGTGCCACTGGGCCCTGTAGCGGGCACTCTAATGTTCCCTAGTGACCCTGAGCGTCCGAAGCAGCCTCACCCACTTTCCTGTGAAATGGGGCAAGCCCCACTATCACCTCCATGGAAGTGTTAAAAAGTCACTGTCAAAAAACCGTCACTGTCCTCCCGTTGTTCATCGATTTTGCTCGAGCGGGCCCAGTAACGTCTCCATTTTGAGACTTCTTATTACTGTGTTTGGCATATCAAATATGTCACGGGTAGCTGTCCAGGCTTTTGCCTTGCAGGTGAGATACTCTCGGTAGCTTGCCAGGCTCTCCGAGAGGGGCAGAAGAATCGAACCCTGGCTTGGCCAGGCTGGCTGTGCGCAAGGCAAATGCCCTACCGCTGTGCTATCGCTCCAGCTTAAAAAGGTGAGGCAAAAATATTTTAGAAAAGCTAAACTGTCCAAATGCAGAGAACTAGAGGAACCTGAGAGAGATCTGACTGGGACAGAGAGAAGCTACTAGGGAACTCAGGGATTTGGAGGGTTTGTTTTTGTTTTTGTTTTTTTTCATTTTTGCTTTGGGGGCCACACCCTGTGATGCTCAGGGCTTACTCCTGGCTCTGCGTTCAGGGATCACTCCTGGCAGTGCTGGGAGACCATACAGGATGCCAGGGATCAAACCTGGATTGGTTACATACAAACAAATGCCTTCCCCACTGTACTATCACTCTGGCCCCAGAAAGTATTTTTAAAGGTCACATTTGTCTAAAGGAGAGACCAAAAGCATGAGGGGCTCCAGAAGTGACACGGGGGCAGGAGCCCCAGCCCACGCGACCCCCAATCCCCGTGAGGCCCCTTGAGACTGTGAAGCTCAGCAGAGAGGGAAGGCCAGGCTGAGAGTCGAAGGCGGCAGCTTAGGCTGATTCTTGGGGAAATCATCATGACTCAATAAAGGAACTCACGCCCTGGATGTGGAGGCGGAAGCTGCCCCCTCCCGCCCCCCGTCTTCCTGGCCTCTGTACTGGACAGAGTCCCTTCCTCCCATCCAGTTTCCGGAGCTGTTCTACACCCCAGAGGGCTACCAGAAGCCTGTCCCTTTCTGAGCCTCAGACTGGGCATCCCTCAGGTGGCCACTGAGGATGGGGGTGGAGGTTCTGGAACGTCGTATTTTTTTTCCTTTCTGCTTCTTGGCCTGTAAGGTTCTGCTGACAGACGGGGGTTCAAACCTCCCCACTGACCAACCACTGGACACCCACTAAGAACCACTGGCCCTTGCTGCCCTACCTAGGGAGAGGACAGGGTGCTCTGCATCCCCCTTCCCTGCTCCGGATACAGGAAGAGTCAAATAGCCACATGCTGACTTTCTTTGTTTGTTCTGTTTCGGGGACACACCAGATGATGCTTAGGGGTTGTGCCTGGCTCCACACCCAGGAATCACTCCTGTGGTGGTACTTGGGGGAACATGTGGGATGCTGGGGATCAAACCCGGCCCCACCACATGCAGAGCAAGTGCCTTACCCAGTGCACTATCACTCCAGCCCCCATGCTGCTGTACTTTTAGACAATAACCCACATCAATTGCCTTCTGCAAACCGGAAAGTCCAGACAAAAGGAAAAAAATAAAAGATTTTTTAAATGTCTGGTTTGGCTTTTTAAAAGAGCAAAACACCCACATTTGTAAGGTTCTTCTTCTGAACTGAGTGACACGTGCCTCATTCTGAAAGTCCAGGCCTCAGCTTGGAAGTTCCCAAAAGCCTCAGGCTGGTGGCCATGACTATTCACAGTGACATTAACTCGTCTCTTCCCAGAACCCGCTGCTGAGATGGAAACATTCTCCTTGTTTCATGGGGTACAGCAGCCTCGTGACCCCCAAGTCCAGGTTTTGAAGAAGGGAAAGGAAGAATAGAAGGAGACCTGTGGTTTCCTGGACAAAATTCCACATCTTCTTCTCACTTGCTGGTACCCCTGATCCTTTGTCACTACTGTAATGACCGCAGATCACTCACACTGTTGAACTACAGTGCCCCTCACATACCTGGAATTGTACCCCTAACTGGAGTGGCACCCCCCCATCTGGAGTGGTGCTCCAGGGGTCGTTCACGGCAGTCTCATCAGGGCTAAAAGAGTAGAGCGCTCTAGATGACCCAACACGCATGCGTGTGGTGCCAGAAATAAACTTGTGGCTTCACACTTGCAAATCGGGTACTTCTGCCATTGGACCATCCTCACTTCTTTATTATTATTATTATTTAGTTTGGGGGCCACACCCAGTTGTGCACAGGAATTACTTCTGGTTCTGTGCTCAGGGATTACTTCTGGCAGTGTTCAGGGGACCATATGGAATGCCAGGGATTGGATCCAAGTCAGCCACACACGTGCAAGGCAAGCACCCTATCCACTATCGCTCTGGCCCCTTGGTTCTTGGTGACACCTGACTGCTTGACTGGTTGGCCATATGCAAGGCAAACACCCTACCTACTGTACTATCTCTCCATCCCATCCCACTTCTTAAAAGTTGAGCCAAATGGCTTGCACACAGCTGAACTGGGTTCAATCCCCATCACCCTATATGGTCCCATGTGCACCTCCAAGAATGATTCTTGACTGCAGAGCCAGGAGTAACCCCTGAACATCACAGGGTGTGGTCCAGAAACAAGACACAAAACAAACAAAAAGGTTGAACCAAATGGCCTAAAATAAAAGCTCTGTGACTTTAAGTATGAAGAAACTCATCTGCCATGCCACGGTGAGTGGTCCTCCCAGCCTGGCTCCTGTCTGCCAACAGGAAGTCAGGGACATGGGCTCATGAGAAGGTTCGATGGTCTGTTGAAGTGCACTCAGAGGCAGGTTTTTCCTTCTTGTACAGTCTCCCCATACCCCCAACAGTTGCCTACCCCCCTTAGGCATGCCCCCCAAAAAACTATTTCCTCTGACTCTTCTAGTGGGGAAGGTGACACCGATCGTTTGAGCCCCAAGCCAGTGACATTGTTGGCATCATGGATGAATTGACTTCACAGAAATTTTGAAAATAAAGACAAAGACAATATTTTTGTTTATTAAAAGTTAAACTTGTGCTTTTCTAGATGGCGATAGCAGGGATTGGACACAAGTGCTCACACATGCAAAGCAAGTGCTCTACTGCTTAACTGTATCCACAGTCCTTTTTATTTTTTTAAGTAAAAGAACTTTATTTAGCAACTATGAGACGAGAGAAGAAAGAGAGATAGAGAGAGTCCCATTAGGAGAAATTACACACCCCAAACTGGGAGGCAGGAGCCTCCAGTGTTGGGTGCATGAATAAAGGTAGTATTTTTGGCAGCAGGGTGTTGAGGGGAGCGGGTTGGCCACACCGGGAAGCGCTCAGGGACTTTTACAGGCTCAGTGGTAGGGGTTGTTCCCAGTGGTGCTTGGGGGACCATATGGCGCCAGGAATCAAATCTGGGCCTCTAGCACGCAAAGCATGAATTTTAATATTTTTAAAAGATATATTTAATCCTGAAATTACGATCACAGCAGAGCCTGGCAAGCTTCCCGTGGCGTATTTGATATGCCAAAAACAGTAACAATAACGGGCCTCATTCTCCTGACCCTGAAAGAGCCTCCAATACGGCAGCATTGGGAAAGACAAGTAAGGAGAGGCTGCTAAAATCTCAGGGCTGGGACAAATGAGATGTTACTGGCACCTGCTCAAGTAAATCAATGAACAACAGGATGACAGTGATACGGTGATACAGTGATATCTAATCAGACTCATATTAGGGAACAAATATTAGGGAACTATAAGTCCATAGCTCAATCTCTTAATATCAGGATGCATTGAGAACTGCAGAGTGCTGTGAAAAGACTCATTGAAGGACCAAAAGGATAATACAGTGGGTAAAGCACTTGCCTCGCATTTAGCCAACCTGGTTTCAGCCCTAAGCACAGAACCAGAAGTAAATCCTGACCATTACCAGGTGTAAACCCCCCCCCCCAAAAAAAAAAAAAAGGAAGGAAGGAAGGAAGGAAGGAAGGGAGGAAGGAAGGAGGAAAGAAAGAAGGAAAGAAAGAAAATACTTATTGTACAAACAGTATAATCCACACACTGAACTGGGAGCTGAGAAGAGCCAGGTCAGACCTGCTCCTAGGAGGTCCCGAGGTCAGGCGTGAGGGAACAGGAGAGACAAATAAACCCCGCAGAGGGACAAAAGCCAAAACAGAACAATGCACAGGGTACCTGGGAATAGGAACACAGGCAAGGGACATCTAACCTAATATGAGTCCTGGAAGCTTCCTGTAGAAAGATATCTGCAGGTGATAGGAGTTGCCCAGATGAAAAGAAGTGGTAGAAGTCATGTTAGGCAGAGAGTTAGACTTACGCATAGTCCCAGAAACAAGATGAGAACCAGGTACATTCAGGGGATGACTTGCAGTCAGCAGAGATGGATTGCAGATCTGAAAAGATGAGGCAGGGAGATAGTCCAGTAGTGGCAAGGTTCTTGCCTTGCCTGCAGTAGACCCAGGTTCAAGCCCTGATAGACCATATGGTCCCCTCAACCACTGCTAGGAATGAGTCCTGAGTGCAGAACCAGGAGTAAGCCCTGAGAACTGCCAGGTATGGCCCCCAAACTCCCCCATCCCAAATGCAGTGAGAGAAAGGGCAATAAAGAAGAGAACTGGGGTCCCCAAAGTCCACAGAAATATACATATACAAATATAAATATACTCAGCCACCTGCCAAGTGCACTGGTTGTAGCCCTAACTTGCCCATACAGGTGTGATGTACTTGGAGGACAGTAATCCTCTTTCAGCCTCATCTGCAGGCTCTTGCAAACATATATTTTAGGCAGAACGCCACAGAAAACAGAAACATACCTTTGTTCAACTCCCTAGGGAATCAAATCAGCCAGTTAGCCAGTCAGCCAGCCTTTGTCTGGCACTTCCCAGACTCTAGCACAGAGAGTTCATTTCTCTGGAGTCTGCCATCGAGTCTATGAAACTTTGTTTTTTTTTGGGGGGGGAAGGAGGTGTTGGCAGTTTGGGTCACACCCGGCCATACTCAGGGGTTATTCCTGTCTCTGCACTCAGGAATTACTCCTGGCTTTGGTCGGGGTACCATATGGGATGCTGGGGATCAAACCCAGGTTGGCTGCATGCAAAGCAAACGCCCTA